AAAAAAAAAAACTTGTAAACGTCAAAGGGGAGAAATTCAACCATGTTATAATGTTTCGTCGAATTCGCTGGGTAAAAACTTTATGCTCACATATTTTTCTGTCTGAACAGTGTTTCAAGCTTTCGCAGCATTTAGCATACGCGCATTTTGACACCACTAGCGCGTTGCAAATTATTACAGAAAAAGCAAGGCAAACGAAATGCCCCTCTTTCATACTGGTGAGACAGGTAATCAAATGAAATATCTCCTGCAGGGGTCGGTTCCTTCAAATCTAAACTCTAAGCCGTTCAAAAAGATTTCTAGAAAACTGGCAATCACTGATCAAATCGTAGGCGTTTGATGAAGAAACGAGTGAAAAAGTTGAAAAAAGGTGGGGGACTACTCCCTTTAAGAAATCCTGACTGCACCCCAACACAAACGTCTTCGACCCAGTTAGTTCTCCCCAAGCCGTTTGTGAAAGTTTCAGTGGGCCGTGAGAATGCCAACTGGTTTTGGCTTTCAGCCCTAGATGTGTCACAGCCTCGAAAACCTAGTGTGGGTAGATGTGGTTACTGTGACAGGACTCGCACGCTGTTGTTGTGAAGTAAAGTCGCACTGAAAAAACACACGTGATGCGACTATAGACAACAGTTCAAGAATCGCATGGAAGCCGAACCTGTTCCCATATTTCAAAATTGAAGCCGAAAGCCGAGGCAGCTGTTGCGTGGAAAAAAAAACACAAAAACTGGCCAACACCGAAGGAAGAAGCAAAATGACAGAGCCCCGAAGTTGAAGACGAAGCCATTGGAGGAAAACTGCTGCTTCACGAAGCCGAAGCGGACTTCGTCCCCATGCCTGCTCTCAGCATAACTAAAACATTTCCTGACATCCAAAATGGCATGCTCATGCTGATCAGCACCGGGCGCCCGTGAAGAACGCTGAACATACGTCTGAAGCCTCTTGGCTGCCACCCTCTTGAATAACCGCCCGTCGCCATGACAATTCAAAAACTTTTTTGGGCGGAAAGGAAGCCCCAGCACAAAATACCGTATATCCCTTAGAGCGCACCTGCGACAAATAATGCAGGGTTTGAACTCGGAAACAGCCTTGACATGAACCAAGTAGTGATGCACACGTTTCTGCTACGATTCTCGCAGATCCCAACGCAAGGAAGGCTAAAGAGTTTCATGCAATCTCCCTGAAACTCCTAAACCTTACGCACAGCATTTGCACGGGAGGTCCGGGGTGAGTACCAGATCCTAGGGTATGCATGAGTGCCCAGTGCACCCGTCTGACTACGGGACTGCTTACCAAACAACTAAGCACATCTTCCTGCCATTGCTTGTCACGGGGGTTCTCGGCGGCGATGATGGGAAACGTCAAACCAGGCATCCAGCCGACCCAGCCACCAGCCGACCCAGCCCACCTTGTTCCTCCGCACCATGTCCATGCAAAAGACAACGTAACCATATTCGGATTTGACCTCAGAAGGGTCACCGTAAAGTATCCAGACAATGAGGGGTCAAAAGGTGGTCATGCGTAGCTCAATAATGCATCGCGCCCCAATTTGAGGACGGCTGCGCGCCATAATGTCAAGCATTTGCACTTTTGGGGCAACCTGACCTCCCAAGCGGGCTGCATGGCTTTGAGCCCTGCAAGGGGAAAGGACATGGGCACGTATTATGCCATTTCATAACAAATCTATTCTAGATCATGCTGCGACTATGTAGTAGCCATAATATTAGAAATATACACATTTCCATTCTGACCTACTGTAGTAATTGGATTGTTTCCAGGTATGTAAGGCTTGCTCTACGCCTCAAAACCAAATCTAACGCTTTTTTCGGTTTAATCAAGCTGTGAAAATGTGAGGTTCTGACTTTGATTGCTCGTAGCCTGTGAAGGCTTTCCCGTGTTCCAAAGGCACAAATCGCGCTTACTTCAACCAATAAGTGTACTTCAATGAGCGTGTTTTTTGTTGTTTTTTTTTTTGTTAAGGAAAATCATGTCAGCGCCGGCCAAGCTAGTCAAACTTCGACCTATGCGACAATATTTAACTTTTGGAAGGTCATAAAGTCTGAGCAAAACAGGAAGTGTTCCACATTTACATATACTTTTGAACTGTTATAACCATTTTGAAGATCATCAGAGCAGTTTACAGTCCTGTCATTCTTAAGACTTGCTCTGGGTTCTGAGCTAGATGCCAGCGAACTTACGTATACTTTTTGCAGACTAGTTCAAGGTCACCGAGACATGCATGACGGCGTAGAGAGGTCACTGTAATACTGCCACCCCATTGGATATGTGGCATTCGAGGCTAAGGCGAGTATGATTATCGAGTTAATCGCGCTCGGCGTACGTGATCACGATTTATGGAACCGACAGACTTAAACTTACTATCATCCATTGTATTGCGTTAAGTGCTAGTCTCCAACAAGACTTTAGTTTTGGTGCTTCATAATGCAGGAAGTTGGACAGCGGTGATGGTTTTTAAGGAAATGAGGGTCATTAATCGAATAGATATAAAAAGGCACCATAACGAGCATGTAAACGCAAGTAAACAATGTAAAGTCATGGGCTAATATTCAAGCGCACCACAAGAGAGGGACAAAACACGCGCACACAACGATATTAAGGTTCCGGAAACGCTGCGTCCATTATCGCAGCACCTATCAAAAAGCTGAAGTACTGCAAATTAGTCAGACCCTACAGTCGGGTGACAATTTCGCACGGTCAGTTTAGCTGTCCGTCTGACGTCATACAAACACTCCATGACGAAATCAAACAATGACGTATCGAGATGCATATCTACTAACTGGTGAAATGTTGCTATTTAGGGTAGTTTCTTGCACTTAAAAGCATGCCAATGTGAAACAACCATGCGTGTGAGCTTATTTCACTATATCTAATACTTAGCTCAATATCTGGAGATGCCCAATATTTCCTTTAACGTCACAAAAGCTCGCAAAATACAGGATTGCCACACCACTTAATGGACTGCACTTAAGAGTAGATCGATGACCTTGAAGCCCTAATCGTATTGACCCGTTTGCTGCTGAAGGCTTGTATTCTGTTGGATGAGTAAACGTCAGAAGGAGTGCAGTTTGATGCACGAAATTTTGACGTTCACCATCATCAGGAGGGTATAGCGGCAATGAAAAAAAAAGATGGAAAAGGAGGAGAGATGCCTATCCTACCCTTACCACTACCGGCGCGCGCTGGTTAGCCACCTCGCGCTCGGTTCCGGCACCGCCGCGCAAGCTGGGCTCTGGGCTCGCTTTGGGCTCAGGCTTCAGCTATACTCGAGGAGCTCAATAACATTAAGGTTGGGTAGGACAGGGGTGAGAAAAATAGACTAGATGCAGGTCAGAGGGTGTAGGTTAGGCAGAACAGGCTTGAGAGAATAGACTAGATGTAGGTCAAGATGGTGGCAAGGAGAACCGCTCCATTCACAAGAATGAAGTATGGCAGGTAGCACAGAATATAGGACCAAGGCCTTCACATGGAAAAGGTAGGAAGTGTAGATGTGCCTACTACGAATAGTTTTGGGGCACTACAGGAGGATTCCAGGGGTGAGGTGGGTCCAAATAACAATGACGGTGAAACAGGGGTTGTCGTAGTAGGGGACTCGCGAGTTCGACACCGCAATAGAGCTTTCTGTAAGGCAAGAAAAGGAGGGAGATGTTTCAAATAAGCCTAGAGCCAAAATCGAGGACCTAGTGCCAGTGGTAGCGCAGGTCACTAGTGAAAACCAGGCCAGTGCAGTGATTGTGCGGGTCGAAGTCAATAACATAGGGCGGGAAATTAGTGAGGAGGCGATTAAAGACATTCGTCACGAGATTGGAGCACCTCCTGATTGGAGCTCCAGGGCGCTTGCAGCCAATTCCAGAGAATGGAAACTTTGCGAAAAACTAGGCCTCACTTTTGTAGACGAGTAGGACAGGTTTTGTAATTGCAGAGACCTGTATCAGAGAGATGGACTCAATTTCTCTGAGAAAGGTGTATACGTCCTGAGTGGTGTGCACGAAAGTATCTTTAGGGAAACTAGCTTCTGGGTATGGGAGGGCAGACATAGAACACCTAGGAAATGTAATTCGTAACTGCAGAACAGTACGCCAAAAATGAATAGGAAAACTTAGGTGCTTCTATGCAAATGCAAGAAGTATCAAGAAGAAGTTTGCCGAGCTCCATGCTCATATGCTTGAAGAAAAATTAAACCTGTAGCTATTACTAGATATGTTATCAGTGAGAAGCTTTTTGGGGACAGGTTACATGAATTTGAAGTGTCTGGTTGCAATATGTTCACTTTTCACAGAAAAGCAAACACGAAATGGAATGCTAGTATTTGTAAGACAATATAAAATGTGAAGTTGCAGACAGTGTGCAGACTGGCGATGGTATAAAAGCCCTCTGGATAGATGTGATTGTGTCAAACAGCAACAAATTACGCATTGGAATATTTTATAGCCTTCCGAATAGTTGTCAGGATCTGGATACAGCATTGCGTGAAGAAATTGACAGAGGTCAGAATGAAAAATGTATAGTGCTGGGTAGTTTCAACATCCCAGGCTGGAGCGTAGATTTTGACTGATTGTCAACAAGCCACAAAAATATATTTCCTTGTTTTGAAGAAAATGTTCTTCAGTAGGTGGTGTGCAAGCCCACTAGGGGAGATGAGGTTGATAATGAGGATCTTGTTATGAGGAATTAGTTAGACTAATGAGGAAGGGTTAGTAGATGCTTTGACCGTAGGTGCGACACTGGGAAATAGTGAACACAGTATTGTAAGGTTTTCAACGTGTCTGGGTTTTCAGATAAGGCTAATCAAACAAAATAAAGATTAATAAGGCGCCCGGACCTGACCAGATATACGGTAGAGTGTTGAGTGAATGCGCTAGTGCTTCAGGCTACCCTTTCATGTTGATATTTAATGGATCACTGAGCTTCTCAGAGGTGACCGAGGACTCGCGCGATGTCAATGTAGTACCGATTTTTAAGAAGGGGACCAAAAGAGGTGTCAACAACTACAGGCCTGTGAGTCTAACCTCACTAGCTTGTAAGATCTTAGAGAAATTCACTAAGGCTAGCATTCAGTCCCACTTAGGCATCATTTGATAAATAATAGTCAGCGTGGTTTTTATCTGGAAGTCCTGCTTGGTAAACCTGCTAGAGTTCTTGGAGCATGTTACTGGTCAGACAGATAAAGGCAATAGCTTAGATGTTGTCTATCTAGATTTAACGCGCGCCCGAGCGGCCGGCTGGATACCCTTTGCTCGTGTCGGGGGTCAATTTGACCCCTTCCCCCCCTAAGATCTTAGGAACTAAGAGAGCTAGAGATACCAAATTTACAGGGTGTGTCGGCCTGTACGTGGGCTCACTTAGGTCAGAATTCAAGGTTCATAGGTCATGACCGTCAGGCAAGATAAGATCAAACAGCTACAAATTCCAGGTTGGTCTCCAAAGGGCCCCTAGAACCTAGATAACTGTGGTAATCAAAAGTTCACATGCTCATTTAAGTTCAGCGACCTTGTTTGATTTTTTGAATGTCATGGTGAACAAAATCATACAAGACCGCTTGGAGTTTTACATTTGAATAAGCTACTAAGATTACGCTAGGCAGTATGTTCCTTAAAAAAATGTTGGCCTACGTCATATAAGGTAAGTGACGTATTGTGACATTAAAGAAGTATATGGAAGGTGTATAATGCGGTTCCTGTTATCAATAAACTTGAAATGCGCGGCAGAAACTACCCCTCACAGCAAGCCCCAGAGTAATAAAACAGGTTGGTTTTGACCTTGGTACGGCCTACATACTTGGCCCTAGACCAATTTAATTTGCTCATTTAATCGCTGTGTTGCCTAAGAAAGTATCTCAGAGATGTATGGCTTCGTCTAACACTCCCTTGTTGGATCAGATTGAGCGATTTTCTAGAAACTGCCTTCGCTGGAACCATCGTCTGACCTTGGTCCGCCATAGGTCGGTGACCTTACAGGATGATATAAAAGCTTGATGCCAGACGATCTGCTATTCCAATGTCTACAGCTTTGCAAAATTTGGCGCGGCTACCCCGCGTCGTTCGGAAACCATTCCAAAACAACTTCAGGCGTCAAGTTGACCCCCACAAGAGCACGTGCTAAGTATGGCATTTGATTAGATGCCACATCAACGTCTGCCATGTCACTTAAAATAGTACGACATTGAATGAAGCACTCTTGGCTGGGTAAGGGCTTGGCTGCTAGATAGAAAACAAATACTAGTGCTCAACAATACAAAATCTCAAAAGTGGGAGCTAGCAGAGAGTGGGATTCCACAGGAGTCGGTGTTGGGCCCTTGCTCTCTATTATTTTTGTGAATAATATTGAGGCAGGACAGATCACACCTCGATGGGACCTTGCGGCTCTTTTTTGGCCAGATATCTTTACGTCTTCATGTCTTTGTGACAGTCTCTTTGCAGAGTGCAGTGTCAATTTCACCTCAAATGCAATGGACATGTCATACCCAGTGTCAGAAACTCAATCGCTGACATCCCGGTACGCCTGCAGGTGCATTCGAACTTACGAGGTCCAGTTCCGCACCGGTGGCAATCTGACATTCCAGCGTATCAACGAGGAGGACACCATATTCAACCTGTTCCAGTGGTTTCCGGGCATGTCAGGTATGTCTGCGGTCATAGGTGAACAAAACACATGAAGCAACCGTAGCATTTCACAATGCAAGCCACGGGAGCGCTTTTCTCTTCGAGTATCCCGTGTGTGTAAAGTGCAATAGTGCTGAGCTCTAACTAGGCATAAAGGTTTCTGAAGTGCAGACAGCTTTGATGCGCGTTGTCAGGACACAAAGGAAGTGTAATCTTTGCAAAAGCTCTTAGAATCCAGATCCTGCGATTCCAGCGATGGCTATTAAAGCTTGCATAAATTGAGGTGAGTAAAATGCAATCGAATTAGCTCCAACAGCAATATTTACTTGTAATGCAGCTCCCAAACACTACAATGCCAGTACGACTGTATTAGAAACTGGATGTTTTATTTGATGTTGTAGCGCGATCTAGTTCGAAAAACTGCTTTCAAGTTAGACGTTCGGGACGCTGAACACCGAGTCGGTAGCAGCAGAAGCTCAAAATCCAACTGACTCCGTCTCTAAGACTATGTTGATATATTGGCTAGTGTGCGACACATGGATGCTTTGCTGTGTAACCATTATCCGGACACCGTCCAGAAATGGCGGCTGCGGCTGTCGTCGGAATGCCATTTCTTTCCTCCTATAGTATTTTTAACATATTCTTAATTCCTGGTTAGTTGTGCACTTTGTCGTAGTAATGTCTGGAACTTGTTCATTGTTTTATCCCCGGAGTGTTAGTGACCTGTAAAAACTGTCGCTCGCTGTTAAAAATCGAAATATCGAGTGCGATCATTGGATGTTTTTGAATTCAGTGCTCATAATCGCTCAAGTCGTCTTAAACGTTTTTGCAAAAGTAAATAGCGTAATGCTTTTATTATTTCATTTTTCATGGCTATTCGACGAGGAATAAGGCCAACAGTACTCTGTTATAAATATGCATAATGTTCCTCGCAAATGCACTAACGACGTACGCAATTAAGAAAAGGTTGCAACACTCCGGGGTTTTAGAGCTCTTATATGCGACATTAGGTGTTCCTTGACACCCGCCCGTGTGGCCGGTTGGATACCCTGGACTCGGGTGGGGGCGATCGATTTGACCCCCCCCCCCCCACTGAGATCACAGAAACAGAGAGAGCTAGAGATACCAAATTCACAGGGTGCCTTGGCCTCTATGTGAACTCACTTAGTTCCAAGCTTTAGGTTCCTAGGTCATGACCTTCGGGTCATATAAGGTCAAACAAAATCGAACCTCAGGCTGGTTTCCAAAGTGCCCCAGAACCTAGATATCTGCTCTAAGCAAAAGGTCACACGTTCGTGTAAAGTCCTTGACCTTGTTTGTACTTTCGAAGGTCATGGTGACCAGCATCACACGAGACTGCTCTGAGTTTTGCATTTGAGTGAGCGTCAAAGATTGCGCTAGGCAGTATGTTCCTAAAAACAAAATGTTGATCCGGGTCATTTTTTGTCAGTGACATATTCTGACCTTTAAGAAGTCAGTGGAAGATGTATAATGTGGCTTCTGTTATCAATGAATTCGAAGTGAGCACCAAGAACTTCCTTGTACAGCAAGGCCTAGGGAAATAAAACAGGCTGATTTTGACTTTGACCTTTATATATGACTCCAGATCAATTTTTATTTCATTGTTATGTTGCCTAAGGAAGTATCTCAGCGATGTATGGCCTCATCTAACACTCCGTTGTTCCATCATATTAAACGATTCCCTAGAAATCGACTTCGCTGAATCCATGGCCTGACATTTACCTGCCGTAGGTAAGCAATCTTGTAAGATAACCTAAATATTTAAAACCAACTGATCCGCTATTCAATTGTCCACAGCTACGCAAAATGTGGCTCGGCTACCGCCACGCCCTTCTGAGATCCTTCCGGAAAAAACTTCGGGGAGGGGGGTCAAATTGGCCCACCCACCTGAACACGCGTTGAACGTGCACACGATTTGAACGTTTGAACCGAATGCGTTTATTCAGCCCTCGTTCACTTACTTGTTGTGTCGAAAAGGGTAACCCACACTGACGATCGAATGCATTGCTTGTGCCCAATGCTTTGAGAAGTGTCGGAGAAACCACAGACGTCGAATAAAGGAAATTTACAACCGGTGTGATAAAAGGGCCAGGAAATGTCATGAATGATGATGAATGCATCTAGAAATAGTGCAAGCACAGATCGCCCATAGAACACAACTGGTATGGCAACATAGCGCTCCCAATGACTTTAGGGGTGTGTTTTGGAGTCACTGCACAATCTTCGTAAGTAAAGCGTGCGCCAGTTACATGAAAATGCTTCAAATGATGTTTTTGAATAGTATCTCTTGCTGCTTTGGTATGCTTTGTCACCTTCGACGCACGTCTACCTGGTGCAAAATCGGTAAGCAGCGCAGCAGCATTTATCTCAGGCTCCAATTTACACTACCTCCATGGGTTTAAGATTGCTTCTTAAAACATATAAAAGGGAGTTCTTCAGGCGTTTGGAACAACCACCTCCCAACACGCACACGCGTTTAAAGAGGGCGGGGAAACGGTGGGCGGTCGCCAACCAATTTTCATCAAGGTCGCAGGCGACTTGCTCCATGTTCCTACACGAAAAGCTGGCTTAACATAAAGTTTGCTTCCCATAATCTCTTACGTCTTTGTTGTTGATTGGTGTTTTCGGGCGCGCCGATTGCGGTGGTCATTTGGCGCCCATTTGGCGGGAAATTGGTAACCAGCACATCACACCCGGTTCTCGTCAGGGGTCCCGGTTTAGGAATCGAAAACAGGATCGGTCAGGAAATCCCATGAATGATGATGAATCCATCTAGAAATAGTGCAAGCACAGATCGCCCATAGAACGCAACAGGTCAGCACATGTTTTTTTTTTTTAAGTTAGCTCCGTCGCTCAGCGAAACAAGCCCACAAGCACTTCTAACGACCAGTTTTAGTCCTATAACGTAATTTGCGGAAGTTGAAGAACAAGCCAGCAGTAATAAAGCGTCAACTTGCGTCCTAACATGTCGGGTACGCTATTCGCCTACAACGGATCTAGATACGCAATTATTTCAGTAAAGTGCGTACCCTCTCCCTATATGTAACAGTATCGGGTTGTCAGTGCTGAAGGAGAGGGTAATGAATTCCCGGTGGAACTAATCATTCCTAGGACAGGCAGTTTCCCGAAAGTGTATTTTCTGCTGTGTTGTGATGTACAGAAATCCAATTCCGAAATGCGTACTGTCTCAGGCTTCCCTTCTGCGCCATACATCAATAGTAGTGATGCTGAACCATGAACATGCAGCAGCACAGTTCCGCGATCAGTTCGCAGAAAGTCATGTCGGGACAGCCGATACGGGGCAGCGGCTGGGGATGGCAAGTGGTAGCAGAACTTAGACAAGGAATATCTGAAAGAAGAGCCTTCATTCCATGACTCGATTTTTACAGATGAAATCCGCTTTTACAGTTATTGTCACCTTGTTTTGACAGGAAGTATTTTAAGTTCCAGAGTTTGGTGCTGGCTAAAATGTTGCGACCACACCATAACTATTGTAAAGCAGTCGGCGAAGTCCAGGTTCATGAAAAATTTAGCGCACTATATGCTATAGATTCGAATCCAAAATTTTGACCAGCCTCTGCCCAAGCAGCACTTTGGCACATAAATTGCAACTGCACCAAATAGTCTGCACAAGTTCGTGGGCGTCAAGTTCGGGATCCAGAGGGTTTTAGGTCTTAAGAGAGCTGGGCTACGGATCTACGCTTAAGAGAGTGAACTACGCTAGATGATCTTTAACATGGCTATCTCAGTTCCGGAACGCATGCAAGCGTGGAAGACATCCATGACGCCATAATAACGCCGTTCAAAATATAGTATTGCATTTGCCCTGCGGTGAGCAAGGTCAATGAAAATGAAAATATTGATTCGTTCATGTTTGCCGTTCTTGAGCACGATTTCCAGACAAAATGGCCGTCATTAAACTCAATGTTATGCAAGGTATGGTGGCGTAACTAAACAATGACGAGAAATATATTTATCAAACAGAGAAGTTTTTTCTACAGAACTAGCATTTTCCACTGGGAAAGTATATCAATAGTTATAAGTGAGCTTGTTTCATCACATCTGATGCTTGCTTCAAAATCTTCAATTGTAGGGCATTCCCTTTAAAGGGAATATTCCGCCAAAGTTCAAAAGGCAATGCTCCACATTTGAAGATATGGAAGTAAGCATCAGATATGATAAAGAAAGCTCACGTTTAAATGTAGGTGTACTTTAAAGTGGATAAAATTGCTCTAAATGATATATTTACCGGTTTAGTAAATATGCGTCTCCGTAAGTCACGATTTGATTGCGTCATCGTACCTTGCACAACATTGAGTGGCAGTTGACGGCCGTTATATTTGGAGATTTTGCTTACGAATACCAGATATGGGCGTCTAGAAAATTGCATTTTTCTAGGCTTTGCTCGTCGCATGGTTAATGGAATGTCAAAATTTTAATGAATTTATTATGGCGTCATGGATGTCTGGCTGACCTCGAGATAGCCTCCCCGATATAGTCTGCACATCTTTGCGGGCGTGTAGCTCAGGAACTAGAAGAGCGGCGGGGCTGTGAACGGCACCGAATAATTCATAAGGTGGCTATTTCAGTTGAAAACTCCATGCAAACGTGAAACACACGCTTTAAGGGAAGATGGAGCGAGGAGCGTCGGGTAGTTGTACCTTATACGGCAATGGCATGCGCCTTTGTCCCAAAACCCAGTTTCAAGCAACTGTGCTTTGCTACATGAAGTACAATCTATAATCGCATTGCATGTGTATAATAAACGCACCAAGCCTGTTTGCATTTGGCTGGGATGATTTGTGGGAAAGCACTTGGCTACCATATATAGTTCAGAAGCACAAACCTTCCGATATTTCAAGGGGGTTTGTTTTCAGTCAGTGAAGCTTGGCCATGTCAATGGCGCTTTCGTTTGGGAGATACGTTGCTGGTGCAGCTTCAGATCATTTTCAAGCTCACTGGGGACGACCCCAGGTGCATGAGAGCGGAAGGTGTCACCTTGACAGTACGCGGATTATAAAGCGACGACGTTCTGCCTCCTGCAACAAAACAAAAACGCACGTGCTCGAGCCGAGGATGACTCAGTGTGCCTATTGCAGATGGCAAGGCCTCGGTGAGAGGGTCGTACCGGGTGAGAGCTGTGGATTACGCTGGCACTCCGGGGCCGTTCTCATCGGTCGTCGTCTACTGAGCTGCATGGCCGAACAACGGATGTACCCGGAGCATGGACTGCTCAGTCTTAGACCGGTGAAAGCAGTGGCCAAGGTAGAGGCGGAGCAGCGTGCAGATCAGCAAAAAGCAATACATCAATAGAGCCGAATATGTCGCGTGCCAGACGCAGGCTCGCTCTGGGAAAAGGGCGGAGGGAAAATTATTTGTTGCACTGGACGACATGTGGCGGGTTCAAGGTAAACGCAACAATCTGTGTTAAGTGGGTGCCCCACCAGCCCAGTCACCTATGAAAACCACGTAAATACATTTCTAATAATATCCGTGGGAAGTTCAGGAGGCACGTGAAAAAGTCATGAGTGTTTTTGTAGATAACAAGATAATCAAGCCAGATGAAGGTGGGCTCTCTGAAGTGCGAGGGGGCGGGGACGGGGCTCGTTTGTTTCAATACGCGGCCACTGTTAATGCCGTTTTCTAGGGAGCGAAAGATGCTGACCCTACCTGCCAGATCCATTGGCTCGAGAGCGAAGTCGCGTTAGGTCTGCAGGGGCGAATGCACACGGTGCTTGGCAAGCACGGAACGCGCTGAGATTCGAAATCGACGGAAGACATTACCACTGTTTTTTACATGTAGGGTGCTATGGACGATGATCAACGACCTGAAAGCGATCGCCACGAACGTTCCCAGCTACGGAGGCAGTTTTCATACGTCAGTGGTTGAAGGCGAGTAAATGAAAGCCAACAACCAGTACTCTCGCTAGTCGCCGCATAATCTGCGAAGCGGGGAGTGCTGAGTACCAGGACTGAGCGCTAGTGCCCTGGCCACTCTATCGGTCAGTTCTGTGCGCGCCCAATGGCTGCGCAGACACGCAACAGCACGTGACCGCCAGGGCGGTGGGGCCTCTGTTCAGACCCGCGGCGGAAGTGCGACGGTCTCTCAGCAGCACCAGGGCGGTGGGGCCTCTGTTCAGACCCGCAGTGGAAGTGCGACGGTCTCTCAGCAATACCAGGGCGGTAAGGCCTCTGTTCAGACCCGCGGCAGAAGTGCGACGGTCTCTCAGCAGCACCAGGGCGGTAGGGCCTCTGTTCAGACCCGCGGCGGAAGTGCGACGCTCTCTCAGCAGGAAGTCCATAAATAACTCAGTCACTGGATGAGAGCCAGCGCGACCGTCAAAGCCAAGGTGCAGACATAAAAGAGCACTGTATCGTCGTACGAGTCCGTTGTGAGCCGCACATGCGCCTAAAGAGCACACGACTATGATCCGTCGGGTGTATTTAGCACGCCATGCTCTAGTAAAAGGTCTACAAAACGACGGTCGTACTCAGGTACAAGCTAACGTCCCACAGCGCCTGAGGACGTGCGGCTAGACACGTGCACTAGCGTAAGAGGGCAATACGAATGACACGTCTAGCACGTGTTTGAGTCGCGCAGCAGCCGCGTGACCCCAGCACCAGCACCTGCCTTCGCAACTGCGCACAACCAGCGCCGATCTGAGACGGCCTGTGACCAGGTCTGACGATCCGTCCCTGCCCTGTCACTGGCGCCCCTGTGGTTTGGACGGGCTGGTCCAAAACACGTGCGACCCTCCGCCGCCTATTCGTGCCCGGCAGCCGGACGCCGGCCGGGGTCGAGGAAGGCGCGCAGCGTCAGCTGGCGCTTCCCGTCCGGCTGTGACGTCACAGGCGCGGGCCGACGCCTGGCCGGCCGCGACGCCGCTTCCGCGTCGAACAGCTTCAGAATCTGGCCGGTGAAGCAGAGGCGGGTCACAGCGAAGGCGAAGCAGTGGTCGGCACCGACGTCAGCTGGACGCGCTGGGCCGTGAGAAGAGCGTGCCCAGCTCAGTTCAGAGGCTGGACTTCAGACTCATCAGACACGCTTCATTGCAAAGCGCCATACTCGCACCGTGTGAGCTAGTCATAAATATCACGAAGTTATTGAAGGAAGTCGAGTTAAATTCTTACTCAGCCCATCACAGGAGATAATTCTATCTGAATTACGGAGCAACCGTATCAGTAACTGAATAAATGCGTCTGGCCTGTCAAAAATCACTAAGGTAAACAATTCACAGGCCACATGCTCACCAGAATTGGAACGTACGATATGAACGTACGGTGTTTGCCTCTCATCCCCCCTATGGGCGGCGATCCCGTATAGAGCCTTCAATAACAAGGGCCGATACTTCGGCAAATTGGTACACAACACCAGGTCTTCGGAGAAAAAATACAAAACAATTTTTGGGCAAACAATGTTCGCAACCAAACACAGTAGGTTTCATAAACCAACTAACGCCACGCGTGGTGGAACACTGCTTTTGTGATTTTAAAGCTCTCCTTGAATGCAGCTTTTCCAGAAGCACCTGATGAATGCCTGTCCTGCTGCCTGATATGCAGCTATGGCTTGAGGAGTAGCGTTTCAGGCCTGCCGTGACCATCGCGTACGCGCGCCCGTCTCAGCTGCCGCGGCTGCGCACCTTGCGGACGGGGGTGGGGATACCGGCCTGCAGCAGCTCCTCACGCGTCACCCAACGGGCTGCGCTGTAGCCCGCCGGCACCGGCGGCTGCTGCTCGTCCTGCGCGGTCGCCGCCGCCGCCGCCGCGCGCGCCCGGTACGTCCGTCGGATGTGACTGAACACGTGCACTATGTCGCCGAGAGATGGGAGCGGCGCCGGCGGCGGCAGCGCCAGCTGACCGGGCAGCAGCGTGCGCAGGGCAGCGTCCACCTCGTCGTCAGAGAGCTCCAGCGACGGCAGCACCACGCCCGGGAATTCCCAGAGCGAAGCCAACAGACCTGTCGCAGGCAACGACCCGGCCTAAGGTCATGTGCTGGATGCCAGGTCATTTCGGGTCACTGTAGACGGTTATGCGGTCTGCCCAAATGTCACTCGACGACAGACTTATTACAGGGCCATCATTTGGGGTACATCCTTAGTTCTTCAAAACTTCGTCAACTCGTTCTAAAAAGTAAAAAAAGTATAAAAAGACTACATGACATGGATTTAGTTCGGCCTCGAAGTTCGAGGCATGACAAGAACCTGCTAAACGTGCATCACCCAACTGGATCATCCCCAATTAGTTGTTCGAGGTCTTCACCGGAGGGCAAAATCCGGGGCAACAGCGGAACCCGTTCGCTCAGCGTTCCTTCGTATTAGCATGATGTTTCTAAAGCCTGCGTCCACGTTAGTTGAGTGCTGTGGTCGTATATTTGTATATTAGAGAATGCAGGACGAATTTCGTAGGGAGTGGGCTGCTTCTGCGTGCGTGGATACTGTTGGGGTGTCGGCTGGTGCGCCGTGGCAATCAGCTTGTTTCCTGTTATTATGCATGTGCTTTGTTCATGATCAGACGACGCATTCCGACAGCTTATGCTTGTCTTCAATACATCATGTAGTTTTATGAATGCAAACTCATTATGAATGCAGGAGTATGCCAATGCGCGTCCGCAGCGCCCTCACCCGTGTCGGGCCGGCGCGCCAGGAGAAAGCGGCGGCGCTCGTGGTGCACCACGCAGACGGCCGTGTGCTCAACGCGCGGCGCCACCTTGCGGGTCTTGCGCGGGAAGTTGAGCACGCCCGCGCCGCCCTCCCAGAGTCCGGGCGGCAGGCAGAGCGGGCAGCCGGCGGCGCACTCCTCGATGTCGTCCACGGTCGACCCGGCCCGGCCTCGGCGCCGCCGAGGCGGATCTGACGACACGCGCGGACATCAGCGCGACGACCGGCCGGCCGCAGACACATCCGGCGCCCTCGACCGCCAGATAGGCGGCCATTTTTCTCCCCCACAACGCGTGTGTCCCGCGCCGAGTGCGACCAGAGCGGCCTGGGCAAGCCAGGCCGCGCGATCCGACTTGTGGCGATGTCGGAAATAGCCTAGATGACAGCACGTTCGCAGTTAACCCCAAATATATTCGTTACCCCCGTACCTCTAAGGAAATAGGCGCCCTGAAATGGAGCATTGAGCTATTTTCGCACATCCAGACACACATCCGTCACGATATTCCCCACTGCAGATTGAGTCCCCCACTGCAGGCTGAGTCCCCTACCGCAGGCTGAGTCTCCCACTGCAGGCTGAGTCTCCCACTGCAGGCCGAGTCTTCCACTGCAGGCCGAGTCCCCCACCGCAGGCCGAGTCCCCCATTGCAGGCCTAATCACCCACTGCAGACTGAGTCTCCCAATGCAGGCTGAGTCCTCCAGCCGCAGGCTGAGTCCCCCACTGCAGACCGAGCCCCCCCTCCCCCCCAACTGCAGGTTGAGTCTCCCACTGCAGGGTTAATCTCCCACTGCAGACTGAGTCCCTCACTGCAGGCCGAGTCCCCCACTGCAGGCCCAGTCTCCCACTGCAGGCCGAGTCTTCCACTGCAGGCTGAGTCTCTCCCCCCCTCCCCCCCCCCCCAACTGCAGGCTGAGTCTCCCACTGCACCGACCTTGCCGAGGCGACGCCTGGGCGAGCCGGTGGGCGGCACACATCTGTCGGACGGGGCAGGCGGCGCAGCTGGGCGCGCGAGGCGTGCAGACGGTGGCGCCCAGCTCCATCAGCGCCTGGTTGAAGTCCCCCGGCCGGTCGGGCGGCACCAGCCGGCCGGCGGTCGACCAGAGTCGCTCCAGCACCGGCTGTGGAGGCGTGCGACAGCCGCCCGTCACGTCCCGTGGCCCGGTCGACAGCGCGATCCGCACGCGACGGCTCGGACCGCCAACAGGGCGGCATGCCGGCCGATATAGCGCAGGAAAACAGAGAACAAGCGCCGAGCCCGACTGTGCCGCACTCCGAGGGCCATGTGCCCAGAGTGGATGTTTCAGCACGGCAGTGGAGAGGGACGTCCAAACACTCCATTAAAACTCATTTGGTTGCTACTCGGAGCCATCCCCAAATCGTCGGGATTGAGACAGCTCTAGCAATCGCAAACACTGCGCATTCGTAAGCGTCTTGGGGCGG